CTCTATTCTACCTCTACCTCTACCTCCATCATCATCATCATTATCATCATCTTCATCTTCATCTTCATCATCATTATTATTCTAGCTCTTCCATTTTCCCCAAAGTTTTCTTCCCCTTCCTTGTGTTTTTCTATCTGGTTCATCTGGTTCTTGGGAGGCATTCAGTTTTTATTAGAACTGGGTTTACTTTAGTTCTGTAAAGGGTTGGGTGGCAATGGTGGTGATCGTTTTGGTTGTACATTTTTAAAAAAGCAAATATTCAGGAAGATGTCAAGAAAACATATTCACTTACATTGAGGTCTGGCTGTTTTACAGGCATCCTTCGTGCAGCAAATCAAACTTGCTTGCAGGATTTTCCCCTGCCCCATATTCAGGTGGCTTTTCGGAGTTTTGCAGACCTCTTTGGATTCACACCCTTTGGCCACAGTCTGCATCACTGTGTCCTCTATAGTGGAAATAAAGAGGAAGACATTTCCTAAGAGACTAGCAAGCAGCTGCATCCATAATTTAGGCAGGAGGGAGGACACTAGCCAAGAAGTGACTACAACTCCCTGCAGTCTGCTGGGGCAGCATGGAGAATGTGATGCAGAGAAGAGAATCCGTAACTGAGGATGATCATGATTTATTTATTATAATCCTCTGGACTATGATTGCCTCTGGAATATATATTTGAAATAAGGTATTCTTGTTGGATTTTTTGGACTGTGTTCAATCAACTGAGTTTGGGGCATGGGGTCCCCCTTTCTGCCTTCCCTTGGAATGATCTCAAAGAGACCGTGCTAGGATCTGGATGAGGACAAATGAGCCTTTTCCAGATCATAGCCCACCAGCATTTCCCTTGCCAATAAATGCTCCAGAAATATAAATCTACTAGACCTATGTGAGGTAGGTTAGTGTTAGGGTTAGATGTCTCCATGCCGTGTTGGTAAGCCTAAACTGCTAATCTGAATGGTGTCCAGATCTGGTGTGCATTGTCACTCACCTAGAGTACTAAGAATTAAAATGATGAAACAGGTGTTTTGTTGATCATCACAGGTCTTCATATTGCCAGTACAGTTGGTGCCAATGTCAGAACAAACTTCACACTCCAGAGTGGCAACTGAGGAGAGAGAAAGAAAGACACTTCTGAGAACATATAGAATTGCATCACCCCTCCTGACTTCCTTAAGTATTTACTTTGGCTGTATGGTCTATGAATTATGGCAAACCTGTAATGCAACTATTTGGGAAAGACTGCACTATATAGATTCTGAAGTAGACTCAGAACAGTAGGGGAGTTTGGATCTTCTCCAGTCCTACTCAGATCATTGATTTGATTCAGGTAATCAGATCTATCTAAAATGAAGATTCAGAAAATTAATCTGAACCAAATCTCCGAATCAAAATGTTGCACAATCCTAGCAGATAGATGTTTTCATTCTCTGTCTCAGAGATATCCTCCTTCCAAATACATGGCTCGTGGAAAAGGGCTGGAATGTTGTCTGAACCACCAGGACTGCAGCCTTCTTCTGCCCTGTCTTCAGTACTGCCCTCAGTACTCAGAATGGGTCCTTTCTTTTAACAGTCAAAGATGCACATAAAAAATGGATGAGTATCTATCTTCCTTCCTTGAACCCTGTAGGGAAAACATCCAGTTCTAAGCCCAAGTACCATCCTTAGCCTAGGTTTCATAATGCTCTTCAAGCAAGCCCTTTAGATGTCTGGCAAGAGCACTCTGCATGGCCCACTGCAAGCACAGGACAGGAGAGAGGGAAGCCAGGAAAACACAGAAAAAATAGTCCCCTGCATTTTTGCTCTGTCCCTATCCTCTATTCTCTTGAGCGCCATCTACTATCATCATGTGACACCCTACAGGGGACTTTCAATGGAAAAACGCTTGCCCATTCTTCTTCAAGCATCTCATTTTGTTCCCTCTGGTATAACTGGGACCTTCCACCCATTTCTCTCCAATGCAGCAAATTTCCCCTTGTCCTCTGATGCTTCCTCACCTGTCCTTAGAAATTCAAAGAAGAAGAAGATTTGGAGGGACGGTTGCATGGTCCTGGGTATTCCACCATGTGAGAGGTTGTCCAGAAACTTTTTCTGCATTGTAGTAAATTCTCCAGTTAAAGGAACCTTGAATGGCAAAGGAAGAACACAGGCGAAGGAGATCCTTGCTACAGTATGCCCATAACTCTTGGATCACCCAGTAATGTATAATGGGCATGAGGGAGAAATTCATTCTCTCTGCATTTGACTG